TAATATTTTTATATTTATAAATCAATTACCAGTTGCTTCTTGACAATGAGAGACTGAGCTGCTAGATGAAGATGATTGAGTCTCTTCTTCGTCTTTATTTGTTTTAAAATCAAAATGTAATAATGAAACACCATAATCTCCTACTCCTATTCATATTGTCAAAAAAAAATAAATAGAAAAATTTGGGTTAAATTTTAAACTATTTACCATCTTCCTCCTCTTGATTTTCTAGATTAGCTTCATTCATATCTTGAAATATGAGTAAATATATTTATTTTAATAATTAAAATTATTATACAAAAATGATAATATTAATAATAAATGTCTTTCTCTTATCTTATATAAAATATATATATTATATTAAATAATAATATACAAATATTGCCCTTATATCAATATCATATAAGTCATGAAATAATAATATAAATTTATACTAAATATGAGAAGAATCAGTTTCTGAAATTTCTGATGTAGTATTACTAGTAGTTTGTAGAGGTGATGTTGCTTGACATTTGTTTAACTTTAACTTAAAATAAGAGTTTATAATTGATTGTTTCTTCATAATTTTAAAATAAACGCTCTAAAATAAAATAACTGGTTATATATTATAATATTAATGTGATACCTATAGAGAATGTGATACACAACAAAAACAGATGAAAAAAAATGAATGAATGATAATTTAATATTGGGTAAAAATAAAAATAAAACAGGATAAAAAAAAATTTTACAAACTAGATATGTTTGTAGAATAAATATTCAAAATTTATTTTAAAAATATAAAAATAATCAATTCTAAATAGACATGTTTTTTGAATATTTTTGAATAAATATTTAAAATTTATATTAAAAATATAAAAATAATCAATTCTAAAAAAAAAATTCAAATTTGGGGGGGGGGGCAGAAAAATTTTTGGGGGCCACTTTTGGGGCCGAAGATTTTTTCTGGGGGCCAGGTTTGGGGGCCAAAATTTTTTTTTTGGGGGGGGGGCGGGCCCCCCGGGGCCCCCCCGTGGCTACGGCCCTGCATCAAGCTTAAAGAGAGTTACACTATGTTCCAAGTTTATACTGATAAAGGGATAGTAAGAAGGCATCTCGATCAGTTAAGGAAAAGAGAATGTTACAACAGTTTAAAATATTATGAAATTGACCCTAAGAATTCCTCTAAGGGGGGAAGTGTGGACACGAAGAATGAGATTAAGATACCAATTACTAGACCAATAAGAATTAAAAATAAACCTGATTACTTAAAAGATTACGTGCTTTAAATTTAAAAATTAAACGCTTATAAAATATGAAACGCTAAAAAATGTAAAACGCAAAAAATGTAAAACGCAAAAAATATAAAACGCTAAAAATATAAAACGCATAAAACGCTAAAAGTATAAAACGCTATGATTAACTTAACACCTAGAAAATAATATAATAATCATTATGATTTATCATTCCTTATTCTGGATTAAAATTTTATTCCTTATTCCATAAATTATCATTCCTTATTACATATTTTATTGTTCCGAAATTCAAAATTTTATTCGTGTATATTATTCATATATTTGATTTGATCAACTATTCCAAATTACATATTCCGATTTATTCCAAATTCCAATATTCGACTGGATTAATTATGAAACATGATAATAACAATTTTGAGAAATGTGAACAACATACGATAAGGATATCAAGCCAACGATAACGTTCAACGATTTTATCAAACCTACGCGATTGATTCAAGCCTACAAAAAACGTACAAACTCACGCAACTCTAATAAACGATTTTATCAAACCTACCTGATAGAATCAAGCCTACGAGAACATTTGAGACTTATGAGCTAACCAAGATATAACCGAGTACAATCGAAACGGGAAAAAACTTCTGGGACAACAAGCTCTCGATGACTGCTGAGAAGAAGCTTCGTTCTTTGTAGAAGAGGGGGAATGTTGATTGATTATATATTTAAATAAATTTAAATAATTAATCTTAAATTTATATAGTTAATCTTATATTATTAATTGATATGTTTGATATAATTTAACTATTTCAATTACCATAGTCGACTTTGGTTATTTTTAATTTACTTATTATTCACTAAACGTGATTGTAAACATTTGTTATATTATATATTTTTCAATTAACTTTTATATATATATACTGATATATTTTTAGTTCTTTAAGACATAGAATAATAATAAAATATTTTAAAAAATAATTAATTTGAATAGCTTACTTCACCTTCCAACTCTAATCTTATCTGATTACAAATATTCTGACCATCCAAAATTTTATGGCAGCTAGCATCATCATCGTGTAACGCATATTCTTCAAATATGGGATCAAATTCATCTTCTTTGTTGTCAGTTTTTATAAGATAGAGGCTATCATAAAGTGTAAATCTTTTATAAAAAGAGGTGGTGTCATTTCCTTCCATCAATGTTATCATTTTTCTCATGATACCCTTTTTATAATGACATTTAAAGGATCTAATTGCACCCATGTCCAAAGGTTGAATTAATGATGTTGTATTTGCTGGTAAAAAAATTAATTTTATATTGTTAAATGTTAATTTTGTTTTGTGACAAGATGCATTGTCACAAAACAATAAAATTTTCTTCATTAATGAGGAATCCCATTCTCTTAGGATATCTTCAAAAGTTGAGGTTGTCATCCAGCTGCTTTTATTGGAGTGTATTTTACTGGTAATTTTTTATTTTTAAAGCACCTAGGGTTTTTAAATTTCCCTACAACATATACCTTTTTATCAGATCCATCCCCATTTATGATAAATAGAACTGTGACCTTTTCCTTATCTGGTTTGAAGCCCAGTGGTTGAGTTCCACTAAATTTCATTGTGCCCTTTGGTAATGCTCGGTAGTATAGTCCTGTCTCACCACAATTGTAAATATTACTCCTTTGATAATCTTTAATCAGAGATGGGAGTGTATTTCTGCTCCATTCATTTGCATTAATAATATCTGCACTCCCCTTTTCATTGCAAACATTATGAAAATTTATATTCTGTCTTTTCCTAAATCTCTGCAACCAGCTGCTAGTAGGAATGCCTATAATTTATATATATATATATTATAAAAACTTATAATTACCTTCATTGAATGTTTGGCTAAAAAACAAAGCTTTTTCTAACAACACTGGCCCATTTAGACTGCAATTTCTACTTCGCATTTGGGTAAACCAAACCAATAAAGCTGCTTCTGTCTTTGGGTAACAACTCATTCTAACTCTTTTAGTTGTAGGAGGTTTATTCCTTAGAAATTGTGAGCATATATTTTCTTTATTCGCTATTAAACATTAGATTGTCGAGACGTGGCAATTGTAATTTGATGCTAATTGTGTTTTTGATATAGTGTTTAATTTATCAATTATTTCTTTTTTATGCTTCAGGGTTAATGTTTGGAATAATTTTTTTACCATTTTTATATTAATTTCTGGCGTGGTAATTAATGAATGAATGACTGAATGGAAAAAGGTTAAATAAAAAAAATGATGAATAATTTTTTTCGATAAATTTTTTTTATTTTTTCACTTATCCGATTAAATTAACGTTATTGTCATATAAATGGGACCTGAAAAATTTTGCAATTATCCGATATTTCGCAATTAACCGATTCGCAATTATAAATGTAATTTAACATTATACCATAGTAATTATTATCAAAATCGCTGGGTTTTTTCGCATTTAAAAGTTTTTGCACTTAAGCGATATGCAATTAAATGATTATAAATACAAATTTTAAATAATTCGTTAAATTTTCGTAACTTTTTTATCGATTCGGAAAACGCGTATAAATAAGAAAAAATATAACTTTTATTTCTTGCTAATACGCCATTTGGCGTAAGTCTATCATCTCCCGGTTATTAGTAGAGGGACATAATGAGGGTGATAGATTGGGTAAAGGTGACTATCGGTACATGAGATAATGAGAGGATGGGTGAATGATGATGAAATTGGGAGGATGAAAAATGGAAATGATGATGAGAGAGGTATGATGGTTTACCGAGGACGTCGAGAAGTGTCGCGACCGTTTGGTATTGAAGCACAGAGGGGTAGTAATGTGGTGTGTTATAAATGTGGTGTGGGGCATATTGCGGTGGTCATATTTTAACGTATTGTCCGGATAAAGAGATAGATTGCGATGTGCATGTGGAAGGTTATAGCATAAGGAAAATGTCTGGATACAAGAGAAGTTTTTTCACAAAGGGGAGAAAGTTTGAATGCTATTAGTGTGAGGAGTATGGTGGAGCTAGCAGCGAAAGGAGAAAATAGATATCGAATGTGCGTTTTAAATGCTAAAGAAAAAGAGCATTGGGCGAGAGATTACGATGTGAAATGACTATATGGTTATGAAAAAAAGAGAATTCAGGCCGAGGCGTTGAGAACGGAGAGGTAAGAGGGAAAAGAGAGAGCAGTGAGAATGTTGCAGGGAGATGATAGAGAAAACCGAGTATATCTTTTGAGTCCGAAGGTGTGAATTAATATAAATGGGAAGAGAGTGTGCATGTTGATATTAATTCAATTTTTATATGTTTTTAAAATTATATAATAATATATTAGAATAGCACATACTATAATTAATATATTACAGTATTAATTTTTAAAACAGGGGTGCATAGGCATCCAAAGACCTAGCGGACGTCCCCGTCTGTTAATTTTATGCTTCATTACTGAATTACATTAATATACTAACATTTTGTTTATAAAATATTTTATATTGCCAATTTTATCCGCCCTTCCCCCATCTCGACTACAGCATGTGAATAATGGTTAATATAAAAAAATATCTAAAACTAATCGCATGATCCCCTTTAGATCTTTTTTATAAATTATATAACTATAATGGGTGCCATGCCCAAAAGGTAGGTCAAAAAAAATATTAAGAATAACAATATTCAATATCTTTTCGGTAACATTAAGAAAAAATTGACCCTACTCTACTTACACATAACTAACAATTATAATTATATATAAAAAAATAATAAATGTCAAATTTAGTTTTATAATTTGGTTCGATCAGAAATACATAATAAGCATGATGGCCGATGAAGTTGCTATAGATCTTTACGCTGATGATATAGAACAGGATTTTACAACTCAAGTATAAATGAGTTCGTTAATAAATTAAACTTTTTCTTTATAGGAAAATGACTTTGAAAACGAAAATTCTGAAATAGATTTATATAATGATGTTTTGACAGAGACTTTACCTATTACAGAAGTATATTTAAATTGCATAATTTTTTAATAGGACATAACTTTTTTAATTATTAAATCTTGGATATTCTTAAGGTTATATTGGTTTTAAATTAACATGTTTGAAAAAAGATTTTAACCTTCCAATATAACCTTTATAATATATTTAAATATTCTATTTTTATGCCCTTATACTTCCCTTTATTTAAATTTTATTATTATTCCATATATTATAATTATATATATATAATAATGATAAATCAATAGCTATTTTAGTTTTATTAGCTTTTTTATATAATGATATTGAAGATTAAAAAGCCCTTTTTTACATGTTAATATTTTAACAAGTTGATATATATATAATTTTTTATTACACATTTATATATTAATTTTGAAACCCTACAAAATAATAATAAATATGACCAGGCTAAAATTGCTAAAAAGTCTGATTTTATTATTATAAATGACTCAATTATGATTTTAGCCAAAATAATGATATATAAGCATGAATGCTCATAGAATTTTTAATAATTCACCTGAATTGGGCTCTTTTAAAACCCTAGTGCAGGCCAGTAGCCAATAAGCTTCTGTTAAGGAAAAGAACAATATTTTTGGTTGGATTTTTTCTTTTAAGTCTATAGAAACAAAGTATGAAGTGACCTGGATTCCCATGGCTATAGGGTGGAATATGACACAAATTAAAAATATAGATAAAATATGTTTGCTTATATGATTTAATTAATTTAGCAGGAAGTCACCCATAAAACTTTAAAGACGATAACACCTATAATACATATACCTAGATACAGTGGAAAAAAATATTCATTATATATAGGAAATTTATGTTGGGTATATTGTAAAATTTTTTCTGTTAATAATTTTTATATTTTTAGTGGACAACTGATGAAGATTTATTGAATACTTTTTATACTCTTGGTGTTAATGATTGTGTTGAAATTAAATTTTATGAAAATCGTACTAATGGCCAATCTAAGGGGTATATTAAATTAAACGAGACTACTTATTTCTAATATGATAGCTTTGCTGCCATCCATTTTGCATCTGAAGGATCCATGAAAATTGTTTTGGAAAAATTAAGCAAATTGTGATAATTATTTATAAAATTGTTGTTTTAATATATTAATATAGGGAGATAAATGGGCAACATCCCATGGTTTCTATGTTTACCAAACAAGCTCTGAATCATTTTGAAAGTCAAGCGAAAACCTTGACTGGAGGTAAAATAAATAGATTTGTATATATTAATTTTATAACATATATATAATATTTAATGAATTTTTAAAAAGAAAATTGAATATTTATGAGCCATTATGAATATTTTATTAATTATGTAATAATAATCATATTATATTTTGAAATGTTATAAATTTTTAGAATCACTATAAAATCATTTTCCATAAGCTCCATTTCTGAATATAACCAAATTGATCTCTCCCCTGCATCTTATTTTTTTAACCAATCATTTATATTTATTTATTGAAACAGAGACCCGTCAAAAAAAGAGCCAGGTTAGTGTAAGTATGGGCATAGGTTCAATGTCTTTACCTCCTCCAGCAATAAATATGCCCCCACCTGGACAATACTCATATCCACCACCACCATTGCCTATACCTTCGCAAGGCCCTCCTCCAATATTACCATTTTTACCACCAAGTTTTTATTATTATTCATGCTTTCCCAATAAATGCACTGTTCCATTTATTTTATTTGATACTAAGTAGAAGTCAAGGCAGCCTCACCCCCTTGGGTTAGGTGGACAAATTTTTTTCAAAATATATTGCAATGTAAATAAAACACTTTGACAAAAGTTTTTTAGATTAGATTTTTTTTGCCAATTATAGTGAAAGTCTACCAAAATCAGCCAACCTCTTTTTGAATTGTGGAATGGTCTGAATCTTAGCCACCTGATTTGCTATACCAGAAAATGTTAAAATAACAAAATGAATCAATAATATATACATGTTAGCATAAATGTGTTTTTTCCAGCAATGTGTAATTTTTTCAATTTAAATTATTTTTTGAGCACGTTTTTTAAAATTTAAAAATATGATTTTTTCTGAAAATGTATGCCGTCATGTTTTGATTACCTACCCTATGAATTTCAGACAATTTTTCCATGAACTTTTAAACGTAATATAATTTATATAAAATTTTCCATATATTTTTTATATAAATTTTAAATGACTCAAAGGTAACAGCAAAATTGTCTACAATTCATAAGATAGGTATTCCAAACATTATAAAATATATTTCTGGTAAAATCTGATTTAAAATTTTTAAAAACCCACTTAAAAAATTATTTATAGTTGTAAATATAACACATTGACGCTAACATATATATAAAGAATCAAAAAATGATTTATAATTATGTTCTTATAAAAATTTTGATTTTTAAATAGTAAATTGTTGTGATTTCAGTTAGTGACACCTATAAAGCTGCATAGATATCAGTGCATCTGCAAATTATTTAAGTACTGCCTGGTCAATAGTTTCAAAATAGGTCCAGCTCACCTTGAAATTTTTATGAAAAAAATATTGGTTGTCAGCTTGCTGCCACTGACTTTTTAATCAGCGGCCACCTCACCTAAAGTAATTTGTTATTGCTATTATGTTATTAATATTTATAATTATAAAATATATTAATTTTTATAATTCTTTAATAATTATAATATTAAATTTTCTTTATTAATTTAATATTAAATTCTATGGAAATGTTATTTTATTAATTTAATTATTTTATTTTTATGCAATTAAGAAGGTATCTGATTTGTTAAAACTATATTTCAATAAATAGATGTTATGTTCAATTTGAATATTTACATTGGCAACCCAAAATACAAGGTATAATAAAAGAGAAATCCCGATGCTTTTAGAAAAAGAGAGGAAAAATTAATTCTTTTATTTGTTTATATGACCAGGAATTTTTATTGCTATCCTACAAACCGAAATCAAACAAAATAGTTTTATTATTATCCACAACTCAGGGCAGGCTTTAATAAATGAAATAACTCTAACACAAATAGAATAATATTACAACTCCACTGATATGCCATATTGGATCGATTATGCTCAATTATTTGTAGTCATAGAAAAACGGTGAGATGACCATTATATAGTGATTAATATTGTCCTTGTAAATTCTTAAATTATTTATAATAGTAATATGAGTAATAAAAATCGAATTCCATTATCAAGAAGAGCATTTAGCATAAAATTATATGAAATTTAATAAATCTTTGGTTGCAAATATACCTAAATTGCATCACTTTGAGACACTCTATACGGGTCATGATCAGAGATATTATAGGGAAAAACCTATTGGAAGAAAGGGAAACATCTCCCAAATCTATTCGTATTATTTGCACCATCAAAATTGAGATGTATAACGACAACAATCTGCACTGAAAAAGACATCTATCGGACACACCAAGCATCATGCTGCCATGAATGCGATTTTTATAATTAAGTTTTATTTTATATGAAAATATTTGTATTCAATGAAGTTTTATGATTATTTTACAATAAAAATTTTTTCTAAAGCTCAATTGGTTCTAAAATTATTTTATATTGTCTTAATTTTTATGATAGATTGGTGGTAACTTGTTCATAAGATTAGTAGTGCAGGGTTAAGGAAAAATGTTTTACACCTGTTCAATTTTTATGCAATTACATAATGTTACCATTGTCTTACATCGAGATGAACCAAATAGTAGAATGTCAAGAAATGTTTATTGTAAATCTGATTAATACAAAAATGATGGAATAAACAATTCACTAATTGGCCTCTGCTGATATCGTGAATGATTTGGAACAAGAAAGTTATTTATTATTATCTCCTTTATCTTCAGCAATGGATAATGTTTTATCCTTTTGGAAATAGAGAAGATTGGAGCTGACTAGACTTTTCATTTTAGCCAAATATTGTGTTTCATCTATAAACACTGCCAGTAAATACTTGAGCATGGATCTGTAGCTGGGCTAACCCTAACCTCAAGAAGATTCTCACTGTCCTTCCAATTTAAATAAAATAATTTATATACATGATAACTATAATTTATGAATATAATTTAATGTTTTCAAATTTAGTGTTCATGAAATTTAAAAAAAATTAAGTAAATAAAATTGGCAATTGTTGTAGTGAAAATTTTATCATGTTTTCGATATAAATGGCATGAAGATCGGCACACCACTGCCAATAGCTTTAAAGTGAAACCCCGCTGCAGATAATTTTTTTATTTCTTAAAACAATAAATTTTGATAATTCCAAACTATTCTTTTTGTAAGAAATTAAAATCACCTATTATAAAAAGTTTCCCACTTCCATATTAGTAATTTTTACAAATTGCAAAAAAGTTATTTTGGATGAAAGAAAAGGGTGCCGATTTTATATCTATTTTAAAGCTGAATCTAGTTTTGTTTAATTTAGATTTGATGCCTCCTCCAATTAGAAACTCAAACTTGATTTTACCACCTGGACATATGCCTCCCATGTTACCACCACCTGATCACCATCAAAATTATCAAAGTGATCTAAAAATCAAAGACTCCTATCAATATATGGGCTCTAATTATTCGGTAATAATATTATTCTATCAGTTATATAAATTTACAAACACTGTGATATATTTTGGTATCGAGTAATTTAAATCAATATAAAACTTTTAGACTGTTTTATAAACATGATTTTGTTATATTAAACAGTAACAAACTAGTTAAGCATAATAGATATTATTTCATATATATTAAATAATTTATACCAGGAAATATTATGTTCTTTAGAGCATTTTATATTTAAAAAGTTATAAGTAATCGTTAAACGTGGTATTGCAAAAATTATTATTTTATTTAAAGTACCATATTTTGATGTTAACTATTATTATCTGCGTTAGTTTGTATTTATCTTTTACCATTATATTATATGAAATTCTATATAATATAAAAGAAAATATTAAAATCTAGTTATTTTTAAAGTTAAAAATTTTAAATTAATTAGTTGTAGTAGTTATTTTATGTTTTGATTATAATGATACATTAAATATTTTTATTTAAAAAATTTTAAATTATAGTAATTATGATAATTAATTAGTAGTATAAATTATATTGAATTTTTAGAGTTAAATATATAATAAAAATGTAAGTTATTTTATGTATAATATTATTGTATTTTTTATTATGAAAAGTTAAATAATATATTTGCAGTCTTTATTTAATACAAATGTATAATGCAATTCTCAATTATAATAAAATATAGAAATGCTACGATTATAAAAATAATTATAGAGTTAACTTTTATAATGTAATTATATTCTTCAACCTATCAAATTAATAACACCTGTAAAAGCAGCAATCAACTCGAATCAATCCTTATGGAAGAGGACCACCACCCTCTTCTAATGGTATTGGATTTTATTTTTTGTATGTTATATTATACTATTTTATCTTTTGTAAAATTTTTTATCCAATGTTTATATTTTTGAATTATCATAAATCTAAAAAATATTGTAAATTTTATAAATTCTATCAGTTGTTATAATAGAAATGACTTGTAATATTTATACAAAATAAAGAACGTTTGAATTATTTGCAATTTACATATTTTTTGAAAATATTATATATATAGACAGTTATCCTAGAGTGGGATTATATCCACCAGTGCCAAATTTGTACAAATCTCATAGTGAAATAAATGAACGTTACAATGGACACGAATATCATTCCATACCGGCCCCTCACTTAAACCCAGCCTTTTTCCCTCCAATGCCTTCCTCAGATGCTGCTGCGGCAGCAGCTGCAGCCGCTGCTGCTGCGGCTGCTACTCTTCATTCACCTCCCACATCCGCCTCTTCTAGATATCACATTTTACATCCTCCTCGAGGCAACATGTTAGTATTTTTCATATTTATCATAAACTTACGCGATTTTAAAGAATCTCAGAAGAAGAGTTCGAAGAAATTATGAATCGTAATAAAACCATATCCAGCACTGCTATATCTAGAGCCGTGGCTGATGCTAGTGTCGGTAATTATTATATTAACTTTATTCGAACTAATTACATATTTAGGCGATTTTGGTGCTGCCATTGAGACATTGATTACAGCAATATCGCTTATAAAACAGACGAAGATATCCCACGATGAACGATGTAAAATATTGATGGACTCATTGGAAGATACATTACAAGGAATAGAGTCTAAGGCTTATAGCTATAGGTATATGTAATATACAAATTTTTATAATATAATATTTGCTATTTAGGCGTGAAAGGGAAAGAAGAGAAAGAGATCACAGACGGGAAAGACAAAGTCCATCTCGAGATCGAGATCATCATCGGGATAGAGACAGGTCACACAGGTATTTTTTTGATTTTATTATTATACACTAGTGCTTGAAAAATCAAAAACAATCATTTCCAACTTCTAGTACAGTATCTTTTGTATTTTAACTAAAGTAATATATCTGAATGTAAACCTTTTAGGGACCGGTCAAGGAGCCGTAGACGCGATCGTGGTGACCGATTGATAATGGATAAACGCAGCCCTGCCATATCATCTAATTTGACTACTGCGGGTTCTATTGCGCCATCTATGCAGGCCACTTATAATGATTACTTTTACGATGCCACCTCAAACATCGCATCTGCTCCCTCTTCTTCCACTCTTAGAGATCGTGATCGCGATTATAGGCGTCATTGAACACATCAACTATTTTATAACATCTTCATATTTTCTTTTATTTTCATTTAGTTTGATAATATTTAAAACAAAATAATACACATAGTTCTTACTTTTTATATTCCTTCGTTTTTTCTATAGTATATTGGATTTTTCTGGGAGATAACTTCAGCAAATATTAGATTTAATCATTATTCTTAATTTAAAAAATCTCGCTGGAAAAAACTTGGATAGTGAAAAAAAATATAATAAGAAAATATTTTACTTTAATTTTTAATTTAAAAGAAAAACACTTGTAATATAAATTGTTTAGATAATTTAAATAAATAAACCGTTTTTTTAATAATAATGGTGGGTTTAGCCTTGAGAGATGTGAAACGAAAAATTGGTAGTTAAATTCCCAGTGGCATCTCATTTTCTGAAAGGGTAAAGTTAAGATTAAAATGGGCGACAAGTATTGGAGTAGGGTAAATAAATTAAAAAAAAGGCCTAATTGTAAAATCAATTTTTTTGATAGTAGCCCACCTGCAACTTAGTAGTAAAATTTTTTATATCTAGACTTAGTCTGTTGCACCTTTGGTCAGAATTTAAAAAAACCTTATAGGTAAGAAATCCCAACTTACAATTATTTTAATGTTATGCATAAAATATAAATATTCATCAATAACTTTCAAGATTTAGATGTTTATTTTATCTATTTATTACAAAATATGATATGAAAATGAATAGTTAATATTTCCCACCTTACTATTTTTTTAATTTTATTTAAGGAGCCGATTTACAAATTTTTTACCGATTAGATCCAATATTTTCCGATATTACTGTAAAAACTATCCTATTTCTATTTGATTTTTATTTACCATTAATCCTTGAACTAATGTAAAAAATAAATTTTTTTTAATCAGAAAAAATCAAATATCCACGAATTTTTAAGTTTGTTTTTTTATCCAAAAGTTAATAATAGTTAAAATATAAGCAATGTTTATTGTTAAATGTAGTAAACTCCTCAATTTAGCCGATTTTTAGGATGGCCAAATTAATTTTAGCCATATTATATATGTCTAAATTCCTCAAATATATTAATACATAAGTAGGCAAAATCTCTAGGGGAATTTGGAATTTTAATCATATTTTTTTGATTGGCTAATATAAAAAAAATAGCCTTTTCTTGCAGAGGTAAAAGAAACCAAAAAAGCGAGTTAGGACAGCCTCGTAAGCGCTAAAATTTCCTCTTTTTATGTCTAAATGATTTTGAAATTAGACAACATAATGGCATAAACTTGTTATAAGATAAAAGAAAATGAGTGGAACGGAATTATATTTACTAAAAGTTGTTTTTTTAAATTTCCATATGCATATTTTATAAGCTTAAGTAAAAATAAATAATGATCTAAATCAAAAAAGTAATTTTTAAACATTTGGGTGGGTGTGTAAACAAAATATTGGAGTAAATACTAAATAGGCTAGCATGTAAATTTAAAAAAAAATGGGTGGGCAAGCTGGTTAAATCTTTAAAAACTTGCGTATTGGATCTCTTTAAATTTTCAACTTTCCTGCCCATAGTATGGGTGGAGGAAGGGGAAAACCTATCATTTCAGTTCCCTACATTTTATAACACCCAAACGATTTTTTACTTATTACAAAAAAGCCAATATTTTTACCTAGTTTTTTTTATCACAAAATTCATTTTCAAAGGCATTAACCTGGGAAAAATTGTGGAACTGGAATGATGATCCTGGCAACAGTTTTAGAACGTTTCAAAAAAGGATAAAAATTAATTAACTAATATATATATATCTTATTTTCTTAATTATAGTTTGCTACACATAACAATATTAACCATGTTGAGTTTAAGAATAAAGGTAATAAAAAATTTGAAATAATATTTCAATAGATTTATATTGCTACGAAGCATAATTCCTCAACAAAAAAACCAATAGTCCAGGTATAAAACTGAAACATGTTTTGACCAGAACAAGAAGACAAAAATGCTTTTGTTCTTTGTCTCCATTCCTTTTTATGGTATAAACATTTTATTTTAACTGAACTGAGTGCTTATATTATCCATATTGGTTCTTATGAAAATCAGTAAAAAGAATTGCTACATAATTTAGATTAGTGATCTGCATTGGGCTTAATATTTCAAACTCGGCTCAAAATTTTTGTAAAAAAAGTTTTGTCGGCGTGAATTTATTTAAATTTAAAAATTATTGTATCCAAAATAAAATTTATAAATTTAGATATATTTAAAAAAATATCCAAAACCCGTACTAGCTTTTTTAAAATAAATATAGGCCTCGCCTGAAGCCCATTCGGGCCGATACTTTTTCTGATCTCTAATTTAGATACCTTTGATTGTTTTATGATATTGATATAAATGAGTACAAAAACATTGACATAAATTTACTCTTGTTGAAGCCTCTATATTTGAAAAATCGAGTGTAGAATTTGGAGCTAGTTCCTTTTTGTTTTAATTGCATAAATTATCTAAGAAATAATTTTAATATTAAATATATTTTGTTGAATAAATACAATAAAAATATATATCTTTTACATATATGAAACTATATTATTAAACCTAGTTATTTATATATTATTTTTATAATCTTTTCAAATCATAAAAGGCGACGATATAGTGTTGTTACCAGGTAGAAGATACTGAATTGAATTAATTTTTTATACATTTAAAGGTTTTTAATGAAACAACTTTCTTGTGTGTGTCTATTGGATCGACTCGAAATTATTGCAACGAAAGTCTGCAGCCTTAGCATTAAAACGTATTGAAGGTAGGCACACTTTTGATGTCTTGACTAGATCTACCATACATCCCGCTTTAGGTTGTGCAATCCCGCTAAATAAGTTTCTGTCCCGCAAAATTAAGAAAATTAAATGCAGGGATGTGAACCTAGACCCTGAACCCTTGTATTTTGGCTGAACCCGGGCCCGGGCACTTTTTAAAAGTGGAGGGTCCAAGAGTTCTAGGTCTCATAAAAATTATAAAAATAAAAAAAATTTTTAAAATTAATATAAATTTTTTAAAATTTATAAACTTTTTTTGTGGAATCATTTATTTTATCTTCGCGTTTTTCTTTCAATTTTCTTCCTGGACTTCCATTTTATTTAGAGATTGATATCATTAGTGTAGGTAATAATATTTTATTATGTAAATTTTTTAATATGCTATATTATAGAAATACGTTGATTATTTTTAAAATGAATTGTGTAATAATATTTTCATTTAAATGATAATGCACAACACGTTCATCCTCAATTTGAATGATGATAGAACGATTATTAAGTTTGAAAGATTTCTGTAATGATTTTATTATAGGAGCTGTCAAAGTTGGTAGAATTTAAAATTGGGAGATTAGAACCGTTGTCAAATAAAGAAAAGTTAGAACTAAATTATGATACTATTATTAAATACTTAAATATAAAGTGAAAACATAATCAAAATAAAAGAAAAATAAAATTAATATAAATTAAAAATTAAAAAAATTAAGTTCGCAACATAATAATAATTATGATCCTTTATCAGTAAAATATCCACGATTATATATACTTTTCTATCCTATTCATTTACATAGTCTTAACTCAAATAATCTAATTATTCGTTTCGTTTTTCTGTTAAACAGGCGATTTGAATATTCCTCTTTTTTCTCAATTTTAAATCAAAATAAATTTACATCTTGCAACAGGAGCTTGTGAAGTCATTTTGTCGGAAGATGCTTGTTGTTAAATAAAGGACCTATATGGATTAGACGCCGATTAGATTTAGAATAATTTACAGTGATTTTTATACGAAATATCAGAAAACATGAAAATTTGAGAGCAAAAATATTTGCAAAATAGTATTGTATGCGCTTCTATATATTTAGACCCTCAATATCAAGTTTTATTGAGTATTGAGCAAAAACAAATGGCTAAAGACCATCTTAAGGATTTATGCCATACTCAAAACTCCATTATTTACAATATATTGGAGGCTACGACAATATCTACTGGTAGTAGTGATAATAATCATGATAGCAACATTGATGATCTTGAAATTTTACTTTTAGATAGAGAAAAAAAAATCAAATTATCATCAGAAGAAAGGAGGATCAAAAAATGCCTATTACATCTTTAATAGTAAAGTTCTCAGAACTTAAGAGAATAAATAAGGATATAAATATTTTAAAATTCTGGGAAAAAAATTCTTCAAGATATGCAGAATTATTTATATTATCAAGAATCTTCATGGCTGTACCGGCATCGCAAGTACAATAATTTTACAAAGATAACTATCTATTTTAGGTAAGGGTATACGTGAATTTTCATCTGTAAAATATACATTGTCTAATTTAAGTGGAAATCTCAAGGATGATATTTTAGAGGATATTATGATTGTGCGATTGAATAAAACATTTAAAATATAAATTATTTCATTTTTAAATTTTTCATTTGTAAATTATGAATATGTATATATTGAAGTATAATAATAAATGAATGAAAAAAATATCTTATTTTGAGTCATTATATGTTCCCCGAACACTGGACCCGGGTCTTTTCAAATTTTATTCCTGTACCATGACCTGAACCCTTTCTTTTGTCGAAGGGTTCACATCCCTGATTTAAAGATAAATCTTAAAGTTTTATAAAATCTCTAGTTTATTCGAGAGATTTAATATAAAAAACAACCATAAATTTCATTCCTGCAAGTAGAAAGAATTTTAAAAAATATATTTTCTCTTTAAAATATCCACTAAAAATTTCAAATCATTATTTGAAGACCAATTAGCAGAGGCCTATTTAGACTTTGTTCTAATGGTATGTGGTCGTTTAGATAAAATAATAAAAATACTTGAATCCAATGAAATTTCAATAATCGACTTAATATCAATTATAGAGTATATGTTTGGCGTATTAAAGGCTTAATGCCAACAAAGATTTTACGAGACAATTGTAGTATCTATGTTAACCAACTGTTCTGACCTTAAACAAATTGAAGAATAATAGGCAGCTCAAAAATATTTAAAAACAATTATCTGATATATTGAAAAAGGATATGATTTTTAAAAATAAAATTATGACAATATACTTACTAAATTTCTATGATTTTGAAATTGTTGATAAATTTCAACCTAAAAAAATATCGATGATATGCTTGCAGAGTTTGTTATATTGTAAAACGGAAAATTTATCAGGATTATCTCATCAGAAAAATGTTAGGGATTGAATTGAATTAATGATAAAGTAAAATTTTCAAATTGTGAAGAATTCGCAAAATTTATTTCAAAAGGTATATTTAATAAAATTCTTTCGAAAAATATTTAGAGATTTGCATATGATTTTTTTTATATTTTGATTTTATAAATAAAAAAAATGTTGAAATAACGTTTGATAAGTTTGTAATTTGATAAAATAAATTCATTAACTATATGTAATTGCTTTTGTCTCGCGTAATCCCGTTTATTAAAATTTTTTATCATTTTAATCATTAGAAGTCCCGTGTTTTAGAATATAGTAGGCATAGTCATGACCAGATTATAATTGCTACAAATAGAAGTTTTAAATCAGAATCATGTAATAAGAACAATTATTGACAATGATAGAAGCTTTGTGAAGGCCTTCAGATTATTCTAAATTAATCATTTTATATAACTTTCGTTTTATTTTTTAGAATGTTCAAGGATAAAATTCTAAAACGATGAAGTAATTTTTAGGGTGTGGATATCAGTGATATCCGTACTAACAAAATAGAAAACAGGAATGAAGTGTGAAGTTTACTAGGTAGTGCTGTAAAAATAATATAAGAAATTTTCCTTTTCTTTTATTTATTAAAAAATAAGCATTTTTTTACATGCTTCTCCTACGATTATTTTTATACACACACAAAAAATTCGCATGATTTTCTTTTTATTTATTAAAAAAATTAGCTATTTTAAATTTGCTCTTTTCTTAAATATATTTTTTAACATAGTAAAAATCAATAACATATAAATATTAATTTTTTTTAATGTAGTTTAGGTAATTAATTTTTATAACATAGAAGTAAGAATATTAATTTTTTTTAAGGTAATAAAAATGCAGTAAAACAAGATTGCAGTAAAAATAGTATAACTTTTATAGCATAGCGCATGTATTTTATATATTCAGGGCTGTAGCCATTTCAGCTAGGGGGGCTCAAGTGCTTACTTGAGGGGGCCACTATTTTTTTAAAATCAAACAAATAATTACAGAAATTTTTTCCTATTTTTATTAAAAATTTAATAACAAAATAATACTATAATATGAATATACAAAACAAAATAATACTATAATATGTATAAACAAAACAAAATTACTATAATAAAATACGGCGATTTTTATTTTTAAATTTTATTAAAATGAATTAAAAGATAAATTTTGTGTTATTTTTTTTTCATAAGCCATCAATACTAAATTTTGCTTAGTTGATACTGCATCGACTCTCTAGTGCTCGATAGAACTCTCTTTAGTGTAGAAAACGAGGCCTCACAAGAAGCCGTTGATATCACAATGATTATGGCTGCTGAGTAGCATTTATACAATTCTTTAAATGCATGATGATAATTTTTTTATATACATAATATGTAGAATATTTTAAAAATTATGTTTTTCTTTAACTTCGGAAGCTAACAATCCTTTTGCTATCTTCATTTTATGATGTAAAGTTTTCATATTTAAGTTTAACAATGATTTCAATGGGGCCATTTTATTTGATAAGAAATATTCAGGGTCAAAGTGGGACAATGTATTAAACATGAAAGAAGATTATAATCATTTTGTGTAAATCTGTCTAAAAACTGATCAACAAAGTTATCAATAATTTCGAAATAAATCCTTTTTAAAGAACTCCAATTGGAGTCTTTTTCACAATCAAATTGTAATTTGCTATCAACTAAAAAATCTTGAAAATTTATATGCGTTTTACGTACCCTTGATGATTTTTGGGGAGTGAGATTAAATTTTGCTAAAAGATTTTCAGCCTTAAATTCTAATCAAATCAAAAGAATTATCACTTCTTTTATTTTTTAGTATATTGATCTTAGAATCATTACAATTTTTAGCATCCACTATTGTTATTAATATCTCCTAAATTATAATGGCGAATATAACATAATTTATATTAATGCATTGAGATAAAAGACCAGAGGCTTCGACTGAATCATGAGTGGAATCCTCTGAATGAAGAGTTCTATTAGAAAAGTAAAATAATACTTCACCAATAGCCTCAAAATTCTCATAAATGATGCGAGATGTTTCAAAATGACCAGTCCACCTCTGGTCTAAAAGTCTCTTAAGAGTATGGCTTGTATATTTACAGGATATGTTAAAATGCCTAAAAAAATTATACAATGCATTGGTAAATTAAAAAAATTAGAAATGATAACAATATTATTATACCAATTTGAACCACAAGATGCAACTTGTGGTTGTAACAATGTTTAAAAGTAACTTTTTTATTAATAATTTTTTGAAGAAGGGTTTGCAATCCTCCATTTCGGCCAGACATAACGTTTGCACCATCATATGCCTGGCTTATTATATTTGTTGAATTATTTAAGTCACTAAGTTGCTTTAAAATGCAATCAGTGATGCTTTCAGCAGAAAGACACTCTAAATTAATAATTCCTATTAAGTTTTCTTGGACTTCTCCAGAAAAATTATAACGAATAATTATGCTCAGGTTTTCACAACCTCATGCATCTTTTGCCTCATCAGCCTTAAGACAAAAAAAAGGCATCTCGCTTTTGTTATATTTATCAGAAATATATTCAAGCACCATATCTGCCATGTTAGATATTACTTCATTTTGTATCTGAGGTGATGTGTATTGGGCATTTTTGGGAATAAATTTAATAATCTTATTTAACTGGATCTTTTTGAATCGTGTATGAAAACATTGCTATAAATAATCCAGAAGAATAAATTATTTTTTATCATTTGCAACATCTATAATTTGTGTCGAACCAGTGCCACGAAAAGGTAGCTCCTGTATGCTAAGAAATAGGATCAAATCAAACATTGCTTTAATATAGTATTGATTACGATTAATTTGTTGACTTCTCAACATTGTTGTTATTTCAGTACCCTTATTTATGTTTCGATTTTTATCATGCCATATTGTAATTGAATTTAAATGAGCTTTTGAGCTCTCGTGTTTTAGCAGTTCCTTATTGGCAGCTAACGCATTTTTCCAATTTCTGAATCCCTTTTGTCCAAATTCATCACTTGGACTACACAAGTATTTCCTACATTTAAAACAAAAAGCAGCGTCAGCTTCTATACTGTATTCCGACCAGTCTAGACCTCTGTACCATGATTTTTGAAATGATCTTTGCCTTTCATGGATATCTTTTTTCACGTAATCGTTTAATTTAATTTTCTTTGGTTCATTCTGGCCAGTGTCTACATGAGCGGGGGGGGGGTAGGAACAGTTTGCATCCTAATATCTATAGAGAGGTAGGGGGTAAGTGGTAGGAGGTAGGCATTTGGGGGGTAGGCTATAATAATCTAGAAAATTTTCCATTACATTTTTAAATTATCAATGGATAACATTTTGGTATTTTTAGGAGGGTCATACTCTCATGTAGACGCTGACTGGCCAAGGTCACCTGGGATTTGAATTGAACTTGAATTATTAGAAGATTTTTTTGACCCTAAAATATTATAATTTATAAATTGTAAGGAGGAAATAATAATGGTCATCAGGGTGGGCGAAGGGAAGGGCATGGAAAATGAACACATACAAAAATCTCTATCTTGTATTTAACAAGTATTTGCTATAGTGTAAGCCCAACCCTGATGAACATTATCAAGTAAAATAAAAGATTAAATATTATATTTTTTTTAAAAAATAATATTTTTATATTTATAAATCAATTACTAGTTGCCTCTTGACAATGAAAGACTGAGCTGCTAGATGAATGAGCCTTTTCTTTATTTTCAATATTTGTATTAAAATCAAAATGTAATAATGAATCACCATAATCACATACTCCTATTGATATTGCCCAAAATATATATATAGAAAAATCTGGGTTAAGTTTTAAACTATTTACCATCTACCTTTACCTGAGAATAGTGAGGATCATGATCTAGATTATTAGCTTCAACTTCATTCATATCTTGAAATATGAGTGAATATATTTATTGTAATAATTACTATACTAAAATGATAATATAAATAATAAAATAAATTTCTCTATCTCTTATCTTATATATATAAAATAATAATATATAGGTATTGCCCAACCCTATTGATATTAGTTTTTGCTCATATATCATATAAGTCATGGTCAAATAATTCTTCACAAAAAATAATAATAGAAATTTATATTAACTATGAGCAGAATCAGTTTCAGAAATTTCTGATGTAGTATTACTAGTAGTTATTTGTTTAACTTAAAATAAGAATTAATGTCTGATTGATGTTTCTTCATAATTTTAAAATAACCGCTCTAAAATAAAATAATTCGTTATATATTATAATAATAATAATGTGATACTTATATAATGTTATCCACAAACACACATGAAAATAAATGAATGGATGATGATTTAATATTGGATAAAATAAAAATAAAACAGGATAAAAAGAAATTTACAAACTAGACATAATTTTTGAATAAATATTCAAAATATATTTTAAAAATATAAAAATAATCAATTCTAAAAAAATTTTGAAATTTGGGGGGGGGGCAGAAAATTCTGGGGGCCAAAAATTACGGCCCTGTATATATTACTTGTTTCTATGGAAGTTTTATCACTGCTAAAATTTATCTTAGATGTGTAATTAATTACGCTAACATTCATTTATTTACTATTTTCAAAGAAGAGGTTGAGAAAAATCATCATTAGAACTCACAAATTACCTACCTGCTATTATACGCATTTCTATACGATTTGTTAAATTAACATAACATTTGACAGCTGCCGTTTAAAATTTGGTTGGATGTGATATTTATGTTAGATTTATCAAAATATTTAAATGAAAATATCAAAGAAAAATTTATATATTTTATGTTATTTATAACTATTGCTAATATTTGTATCCTATATATTGTATGGAATCGATATAACATAGCGATCAAACATATTTTATTTGAATCAAATAGTAAATATGAAAATTTATATGTATTTAATGATAATATTAGATAATCATCATAGGCATCAAGATTAAAATTATGAAAAAGGTTAAAAACTTTATTAATGAAAAAAAGCGAAATATAAAGTTTGCTAATGCAGGCACAGGAAAAACATTAAATGATAATAATAATATCAAAATTTTATCAAACAGTGGGCCTGACATTGATCCTATTATTCAAGGGTTTTAATTTTTTAATAACTGTTAATATAATATTATTATAAGTTATTTTAGTTTGCTATTTTATTTTTTTAAAACATAATTTTATTGAAAGACAATATTAAATTTAAGAATATATATTATATTTTGCCAAATAAAAAATTTAATTTTATAACAAGATTTTATGTTAAGACACCTTAAGGTGTTATTAAAATAAGACTGTTTATATAATTTTATATTTTTGAATAAAAAATTTATATTTTTAAAACAAAATTTTTTGTTAAGATTCTTATAATGATTCAAATAATTTCTGCCAATGATAAATGAATATTTACGGAATTTTTTATTAATTAAAATAGTATTTTTCGATATTATGAATAGAGCCTTTTATTCTTTTGATCATTAAATTATTACAACTTAAATTGATTTGGTTATATTGTAGATAAAGTATAGTCAAATTAAGCATTTTCTAATATCTTATTTTAAAACATTATAACATTTATGAGAGATGCATAGATACTTATAATTTGGCTAATACCCATCTTATTAGTCACAGCCAATACTTTAAATTTTAATTCATACTACCTTTACTTATCTTAGTGATTATAAACAGAAAATGAAAAGGCACATGTTCTGGGAATGGGTGGGAAATTTATGAATTTTGAAGGAAACGGTGATCTTAGGAACATTCCCAGAATGTTTTGAAATGTTCTTAAAAATAATTTAAAAATATTTATAGGGATGATAGTATAGAAAGGATTTTAATATTAAAATGTAACAAGGTAAATATTACCATAGTTATTTTTATAACATTAATTTTAGTCTTTTTATATAAATTTTTTTATAATTAATAACTAACTATATTTAAATATTTATAAATGTTGATTTTTATGTATTATTAGCATGGTACTTTTTTGACAAATAGTGGTAGTGCACTTTTTGTAACAACTCTGATAATAATGCATATTGCCAGACACTAATAATTAAGATAGCCGATGCCCTAGTTAGAACTACAAAAAAGACTTTCACTGATAAATTTTTTGAAATAAAGAATACTAATATAATAGAAAATCCCCTAAAAATATTATAATAGTATTTTTGATAACTGACTTGTTCTCAAGTGCTAGTGTGAAATATTATTTAGTAAGGCAAAACTTATACCTTCTGAAATTGTTGTACCAGGGGATAGAGTTTTAATCATCATGGTAAATGATGAATTCTGAACTGTATTAATTATAAATGACTTAGCCAGTTTCTGAAAAATATTAGCATGCGGCAATATTATTAATCAATTTAGTTTGATTGAATTGGTCTTTACCTAAATTATTAAGATATTTTCTATCTCTTTAAAACTGTTGGCATGAACATTCTTGCAAAATAAAAATGTTATTAGAATTTAAAAACGACAATTACCTTTAGGTGTTTTTTGAAGTCATCGCTACTAAATTTATTTGAGAATATATTTTTTCAATATGTTAAATAAATTTGTAACCACCTTTTGTTTTTACATTAATTTGAAAATATTTTGCAAATTTTGGAAATGGAAAATTTGTATTAATGTTATCAAGCTTTCTTCTAGGTTATCTTCCACTTCATTAATATTATCATTGTGTGACTCACTTACATCGATTTCCATTTTAAATAATTTTCACTAGATGAGTTAGGTCTATAATACAAATTGAAATATAAATTACAAATTGAAAATATAAATTTCAATTTAAAAATAAAATAATAAATTATAATTAAATGATATGATATTTAAATCTTCATGTTTATAGTTACATTCATTATATTTTTTTAAAGTAGTTAAAAAAAGGAACGCACTAAAATAGTGTAAACGAACGCGTTCAAAAACGAAGTGCGTTTTTTTTGAAAAAAATGATGAACGGACGAACTTTGAAAGTGAACACGTTCCTTTTTTTTGACGAACGCGTTCGAATTTAACGTTCGCTCAATTTTAAAACACTTTTTGTTTTTATTTTTTTGATAAATTTATTATTATATTAATCCGAATTTTTTAAGAAAAAATTTAATATTTTAATCAGCTCTTTTTCCTTTTTCACATTTCAATTTTTTAACAAGCCATTATTATCGTTTATTAATTTTAATATTATTGTTTATATTTTTATTTAATAGATAAGCATAAGCATGGATATTATTTTATCATTACATCTGATTCTGAAAATTCAAAATCAGATGAATTAACATTACAATGACCAGTGTTGTTAAAATAGGGCGCTACTTTTTTCAGTAGCGGTAGCTTTAGCGGGCTACATTTTTTAGAAAATAGCGATAGCGGTAGCTCGCTACTAATTTAGTAGCGAACATCTAAAAATTCTATTTTTTTATTAAATCTAAAATTATAATCATTTTATTTAATTTAATTTTGAAATTTATATTTAAAAATATACATTATAAATCTAGTTGGCATTATAAATCTAGTTATTATAAATGTGTGAGATTGTTGAAGATAGCGAAATTTCTTTGAAAAATGAGAAAAATATAGATTATCTTTTCTCAAAATTTAAAAAATACTTTAATCTTGAAGAAAAAATTACTACTGGATATCGATTTCGATGCAAGATGTGTCGCAAATTTTATTCTCAAATCATACAAGAAGCTTTAATTTTAAAAAACATTTAAAGGTAATATATTAAACATATTTAATATCAATGTGTAGGCTAGCTAATCCTTAATTTTTAAAATAAATTTAAATCAAAGGCCAATCATTTTTTTTTATATATTCATAAATTTTATCTAATTATTTAAAATTAAAATAGCTATTTCAATCATTTTTAGGTACTTATCTCCTACATAATTTTTATTCTAAGTATTACTGTTATAATTTTAGACTGTTCACACCTCAAAAGAGATTGAAAAATATCTAAAATGTTTTGGAGTAATGGAAGAAGATACATCCACTTCCAAATCAAATTTAATTCTAAGAAAATTAAGCAATTTGGATTCATCAACACCAGGTGTATCTCAAAAATTTGCTGACAAAGCCATAATGAACTTTATAATAGATACTGTTCAACTTTATAAAGATGACAAACACTTTTTCTCCACGTACCAAGATATTTTGCCGGCAGACATTGATGGCAAGAATTTTGGATTTATTAAAGAAATGAAAGAATCTTTAATATTAAATCTATCAGATGTCTCCTACATCTGTACAACAGCAGATTGCTGGACGCACAATAGAAGGTAAAAATGTTTATTTTCTGATTTATAATATGATATTCATATTTTTAGAGCTTATTTAGGAGTGATCGCATATTGGATTGATCCAAAAAATCTAAAACGAAAATCTGCAACATTAGCTTTAAAAAGAATAATTGGCTGTCAGGCTTATGACATTCTAGCAAATATTATTTCAGAAATCCATATGTCAATTCAGAACAAGGTTTAATAAGATGATTACAGATAATGGGTCTAATTTCCTGAAGGTTGTCAGGCTTTAAATTTATTATATTTTTTTCAGTGTTGTTAAACGCTACTTTTAAAAGTAGCGCCCGCTATCGTTTTCAAATGAGTAGCGCGCTATTAGTTACTTTTTTTTTGCTATTTTGATTTTTTTAAAAATAATTTACGTAACTTTATTTCCACAAAAAAATATTGGTATAAAAACATGACTATAATTTGTTATATATATATATAATTTAATTATTATTGCACTTTAATAATAATAACATTTTGGTACTGTCATCCCCAAGTCTAGAGCGACGATCAAAAAGTATAAGCTTTGCCATACTAAATAATCGTTCAGCACTAGCACTTGAGGGCGACGCAGTATTAAATTTAATAAACACACTTTTTATATGAAAAAAATCATCAAAAATATTTAAATTAGTATTTTTAGAATTAAAAAAGCATCTAGAGGTTCAATAATATTATTATTTATTTCCAAAAAATCGTCTATGGAATGCCGCAGTTTCGATCTTGCTATAGTATTAGTATCGTGGTTAGGCATGGCATTTTTTAACGTTACCATCAGCCTATCAAGTTGCCCTTTAGATTCAGTCAAATTAATGTATGGCCAATTTAACTTGAAACTAGGACGATAGCAGCTATCAGTGTTGTTAAACGCTACTTTTAAAAGTAGCGCGCTATCGCTACCGCTACCGTTTTCAAATGAGTAGCGCGCTATCTACTTTTTACGCTATTTTAATTTTTTTGAAAATATTTTTTAATAACTTTATTTCCACAAATAAAATATTGGTATAAAAGCATGACTATAATTTGTTACATATATATATATGTAATTTAATTATTATTGCACTTTAATAATAATAACATTTCGGTACTGTCATTCCTAAGTCTAGAGCGTCGATCAGAAAGTATAAGCTTTGCCATACTAAATAATCGTTCAGCACTAGCACTTGAGGGCAACGCAATATTAAATTTAATAAACACACTTTTTATATAAAAAAATCATCAAAATTATTTAAATTAATATTTTTAGAATTAAAAAATGCATCGAGAGGTTCAATAATATTATTTTTTTTTTATTTCAAAAAAATCGTCTATGGAAGGCGGCGGTTTCGATCTTGCTATAGTATTAGTATCGTGGTTAGGCATAACATTTTTTAACGTTACCATCAGCCTATCAAGTTGCCCTTTAGATTCAGTCAAATTAATGTATGGCCAATTAAACTTGAAACTAGTATGAACGATAGCAGCTATTACTTTATCATCATCATACAGATCTGGAAATCTAATTTATATAAAGCGATTGTATTTATTATAAAAAAAAGAAGAATACCTTTTTAATTTTCAAAATTTAAATTTATCTGAGATTTAGATTCATTTATAAAAAAATATTTAAATAGCATATGGTAAATAAAGATTTTAAAAATATAATTATTATACACAAAGTAATTAATAATATATTACTTTTGAATTTTATATTAATACTATATATTAATATTATAAATTGTGTTGTAAATTAAGCCAATTTAAATTATGGCTAATCAAGCAATAAATCATTCATTTTATATAATTGTATAATAGAAAATAAAAAT